TGTAGGAAAAACTAGAAAAAATCTACACTGACATTGGGAAGAATACTCGTCCTTATCATGCAGTTTACTGAAAGGTGAAAAAACTATATTTAATAGATACATGCGCTGGGTATATAAAGTTCGGTTTCGCCCGAACTTAAACTTATTCACTTGTTTTTAATTAATTTCTTTTACGATTTGACGATTTGCCAAATTATAGGGTGCGTTCAGAAATGCATCAAGGTAAAGCATCCGTCTCGTTTATTTCTAAACTATAATTGATGGAAATGTCCAATAATGTTAGTTGCGTGAATAAGGCATTTCCATCAATTATACTTTAGAAATAAAAGAGCCTGATTCCTTGGCTTGATGCATTTCTGAACACACCCATATGCAAATCATGGTGAAACGAATACAGAAGGTGGCGCTGACTGCGATACCGCTAACTCTCTCTTGAAAATTTTGACAGAAATATGACGTCAAAGGAGATTTTGTATATCGCCTGTGTGATGTACATAACAAACCTATTGTGTCAAACGATCAGCTGTAGGGTGTTTGACAACGAAACTGCATACAAAAGAAAAGTGTTCTCTGCTAATGCATGTTGAAAAGTATTTAAATAATTACTTGTTTAAGTGGATTCTAATAAAATTGAAAGTACGTATGGTTATTAACATGTGTGAGCTGAGGTGTTTATAGGGAATTTACATGAGGCTATTTTTCAGGCAACTTTTTGTTGAAAGTAACAATCGCCTGGTGTAAACGGCCTTTCAACCAATCGCTTTCAATGAAGTTGGTCGGCTTCCTACTTTCGTTCAACTTTTGATTCAACTAATCGCCTGTGAAAGTTGAATCATGTAAATTCCCTATCACATACAAACTAAGCAAAAATTGACAACCAAAATTTGGAGGTTATATTAAAGTTGTCAGAAGTTACTATTTTTTACTAGAAAGCGATCGCGTACGTTTTTTGATTGGATGAAAAGAGAAGGCACGCTCCTGATGTTCACACTTGCTCCAATTATAACGTGTTGTCTCTTCTTACAGATTTACGTTCTTTGGAACAGATCTGACCGGTTGAGAAGCAGCCATTTGTAATAACAATTGAGAAAAGTGTGTGACGTTCGTAATTTTGAAGTTTGCTATTTCTTTTTTGCTTCTTTCTGTATGTGCATTTTGTCGGGGGTTTATTTCATTGATTTTTACGCGATTTTCAATAAAAAGCAAACTGCACTGCAAAAAGTTAATATCGTTCAAATCATTAAAAAGTAAACTATATGACACACTTTTAAATTTTCGCTCCTAAATATGCTCCAAAAACATTCCCAGCAACCACAAAAATGTAGTCGCCTGTATACACACTTTGTAGCAACTGCAGTTGTCAGTTGAAAGTTACCAGTTGCCATCTGTAATTCTCGTTTTGGCAACTAGCAACTCAACTGAAGTTCGCTTGCTATCGATAATCGACCCATTATTGTCTTGTTCTATCTTCTTTGACAATACTGTCAACCGGCATGCCGTTTTAATCCTCAGTAAATATACAAGATAGAAATAAAACAATGAGGTGGGTTGATAGGCAGGTATAATATTCTATCCAATTGGGAGTATGATTTTCAACATCGATTTATCCGATATCGATATTGGTTAGCCCGATATATCGCCATATCGATTTTACGTGCAATGAATGAAATCGATTCATAATATCGATACTTTCTCAAATATCGAGGTTGCGCGTGAGTTGCGCCCATCACAGTATATACAGTACTAAACCTTTTTGAGTACTCTTCGGGGGAAAGTCTGATCAGGGTTGATAATGAAAAGGAGCATGAATTTTGCCGATTCAGAGTTGCTTACAAATTTACTGTGGTATGAAAGGGAGCAACAACAGTACTATGGCAAGTGACACAGGTAAATAAACACTTTTCTGGTGGTGAAGTTGCTGCTTTAAGGAGAATAGGAGTGATAAATGTACGCTAATTTCCGAATTTTACAAAAAAGGGCATATTTCAAACCCAATTCGTAAATAAAGTAGTGACAGAAAATTACAAAAGTAGGTGTTAAAATAATGTGTAGACCCTTGACTACAAGTGTGTGCAAATTTATTTTGGATCGTGTCACCCCTTTGGACGCAATACCTCGAAATAGTTAGGCCATGTACTAAACAGTGCCCAGTTTTTTTTCTGTGCATGTCTACATACACATAACTCCATGCATTTTTCCAACATCCGGCATGTGCTGAAGATCGTACTTACTTAAAGGCCAATTGTGTATCTAACCATTTTTTAATACTAAAGATTTTTTATTTGACCCCCCATTGCATCTTCTGGGGCTTTCGGTGGACCTGTAAAATATAGTTACTATAAAAAATGGTTATACACACAATTGGCCATTTTTAGTGGAAATCTCCTGAAGAGAAACGGTTTCCTGATCGAAAAATATTTATTTTCAAGAATTCTATACCATTTCTACGAAAAGATGGTTTTCTTCGTCGACGTTCAAACACGAAAACTTTTGTTGCGGAAACTCGAAGCTTGTAAGGGAGAGAGCGACGAGGAAAGGGGACGGGTACCGAGTCGACCGTACTCGGGAAACACGCTTTGTGCTCTCGTTCGTCTGAATAATCCAAGTTGGCGATTCACAGCTGACAACAACAATTGCGTACAAAAGAGTTTCTGTGTGTGAATGCAAAGGGCAACAAAAAAAGAGAAATCGCCGATAATAAGAAACTCGAGTTTCCGTGTTTGAACGCAGACTTACTAAATAAAATACATGGAAAACTTTGAGTGCTTTGAGCGACCTCTAAATATTTTTAATCTCAAAATAAAAAAGTAGGGTTATATATTCTTCTTAAAAAGCTTTGAAAAAAACTAAAAATTGAGCTGTTTATTTCCCGAGTGCGAAAGCACAAAATACATAAATATATCTTCAAGGGGACGGGTGCAAAGCTTCAGCAAAGAAACTAAGAAAATTACAACATTAGATTAGTTTTGTTACATGTTATAGATGCGAATTTGTTTATTTGGTTTAAAATAAATAATAAAAATCTGCACATCGATATTCTTCAAAAGTAATATTTACGCTTAAGAAAAACGTTCAACTTTGATTATCGATCACATCAACTTGCCTTTTTTTACGCTTATATTGAATCTCAAATATTTAAAAAAATCTCCCTTTTCAAAACATTACAATGTGGCAAAGCTATGCTTAATGTTATGGAGCCGATTTTGTGAAGAGGGAGCGAGAAAACCGTTTTTTGAGCAAACCTTTTGTTATTGAATCATGCTTTATAATCAAAAAATAGTAGTAATGAAACTACCATCTTTTTTGTATCATGTTTGGATTTATATGGCTTATGTTAGTGAATTGACTATATGTTTACACAAAGTTCTCGTCCAAAAAAAAAAGTTATTCTAAATAAGGCAAAATAATAAGACGATGAAGTTACTACCAAGAAATTTTATTATGTATGCACGTGTTTAAGGATTGGTTAATATGCCTCGTTTTATCGTGTAAACTAGTTTTGTATACATTTATAGAATATCGATATTTCAGTGCACAAATGTGTTAGCGGGAATTTTTTTCGAAAAATGTCTTACATAAAGTAACTTTTTTAATATAAAATTCGCACGTGTATTTCTAATACCGTGTAATTACTTGTGGTATATTATATGATACAGTATTTTCTGCAACTAAATCAAACATTCCTCCTCTACATTATCTGGACAAGAAAGTCAATATAACTTAAAGTAAATGCAAATCAATATAGTATCTATTGAAACATATTTGTAAGTGCATTTTATTATTTTTATGAAATATGAAAAGTATTTAAAAGTTATAATTTTTTAATTGGAATGATTCCGTCCGCCTTCCATGATTGGTATATACATAGTCGCTTGCGGATTTTGATTTCTCCGTTGATAAGTGTCATTGCCCACACCGTTACTCGATGCATCGTCATTCTAAAACAATAAAAACATGTTGATTTCCATTTTTCAATACATAAATATAATGCTCCACTAATCTCTATTAGTTACATACCAATTGGCAAAGAAGTGGTGACTCATTGCAGCCGGTAAAATCATTTCCTGTATTATTGCGAGCCGCATTATTTGGAGCTCTTTGTATCGTTCGATCCTCGTATCTTGTCCGGCCTTGTGAAGCCATGGGTCTGTTGAGAGTGCTGTTCACATTGTTAGGGGAGTTTGGCGAAATATTATGAGCTGTAAATGACTTTGATACGAAATCCTGTTCTTTCCATCCGTTTTTTTTGTAAACATCGCGTAATTCATGATGCTGCCACATTGTGAACAAAACTTGACTGGCGAACTTTAATACGCATGATGTATATTTTTGGCGCTGTTTCGTAATGCTTAATAAACGGTCGACCCCTCCAGCGTCAAGCAAAGAGCGAGAAAACTCGGGATTTTTCTTTATTACTTCATTAATTGTGGCTAATACTGCAGTAATTGTGTCATCGGAGGTGTTTTGATCGTGCTGTGGATTACCGGTTGGAAGCTTTTGGACTAAATCTCGCATCGCGTACTTCCCGATAAGCTCTTTATTGCGTTGGTCTATAGCAAGGTTTCGTAAAGCCGTTGCCACAGCGCAAACGACACGATCAACTTCCATACGAAGCAGTTCTACCAATATAGGTAGACCTTTCTCCTTACGAACTGTGGCGCGAATATCAATACTTGGCTGCCAGTAACAAGCTGAAAGGTTCTGAATAGCACCTGCAGCAGCTTCTAAAGTTTCCGGGTTGGAACAACTTTGTAATAAAGCTAAATAGTACTGCACAACTTCCGGTTGCCACAAAAGCTCATATCGTTTGTGCGATGAACTATTTGGTACTGAATTCTTAGAAGTGCTGGGGGTATAATTATTTTCGGCTTGATGATCGCTTTGAGCAGCTTCCTTCTTCTTTTTACTTGTTCCGAAGCAGCCGAGATTTTCTCCTTAAGCAGAGCAATTAGTTACATAATTGTCTTTAAGTACATAGTATATACAATAATAAATAAGAAGATAAACTAGTTTATAGCAAAAAAAAAAACGAAAGTCGGCATACATTTTTTTTTTTCATTTTGTTTTCGAGACATCGCAACATATCGGTTTTTGGTGAAAGTAAAAAGAGTCGACCATAAATTTTTCCAATACTATCTGGAGAATCCGATAAACAATTCTAACAAATGATATGTATATAAAATTAAAAGCAGGGTTGCGAGATTTAAAATCATTTTTCGCTTTTAAATAATGAACCTATTTGATTTTATTCATGATTTAATTCTTCAAACAAATAATAAATTTATATTATTAAGGATTTGATATAATTTTCAATTCACAAATCTATTTGACGTTTTCGTTTCTACCGAAAAATGTTGCCTTCTCCTTGCCCTCTGAGCACAAATACTAAGAACTGGGCAATGAAAAGGCAACATTTTTTGTAGAAACAAAACGGCCATAATTCATAATCACGCAATTACAGTACTTTCCGTCTAAACCGCACTCGGGTTAAGACGAACCAAGTCAAAAAATACCGCCCTTTTCTCGCTTAAGACAATTTGAAAAGTCAAAAAGTTTAAACTTAGATAATGATAAAAAAAGATGAATCAGTTGCTTGCCAAATCGTGAATATGGGAGACAAAGCATACCAAAATACGCCTGTGCGGTGTACACTAAAGAAAGTACGAAGTTGCGGGACACTATTCACATGATTATCGAACATATCGCACACCTACGTAGTTCTAAAGTGCGATCAACTCAAAAAAAATTTGGGTCTACTTTTTTGCATAAATCAATTCATAGGAAGATTTGGTTCTTCATGATTATATACAATAACTCAAAAGCTCTTATTATACCTGTTTTTGTATTAATTGCGTTGAAGCTGTAGGATTTACAAGCAGTTAAATTTCCCTCTCTGAATTTTGAGTTAGCTCACTTAAGATCTAGGTGTGGGATATGTATGTAGATATAGTGATGATCATACATACATACATACATATGTATGTATGAAACTTTTGGGTAGCATTTTTACCTTTATAAGAATTCGATTGAGGTCGACTTTGTATTGGCATTGGCTGTTTGTCGTAACTAGGATCTTCCACTTCTTGACAACGATATGATAGATTGCGTAATATACACACGCAATTTTCAACGGTTTTGTTTCCAATGTTGTTCTTTTCTATAGCCATTTTTACCACGTATATGAGACACTCCACCAGGTGCTCCGAGTTTCTTAGACTGGTTCGTGCAAATTCTCCTGCCGAACTGACATTGCGTAAAACTCCGGAAGCGTTTCGAAAAACCGTAGAGTAACATGTCTCTCCTGCGCAAACTGCATCCCAGCCAGAGTGGGGTATAATAATGTTGCTAACTATAGCATTCAAACCTTCATCAATAATGGATCGTTTAATATCTTCACAGGAAGACATATTCCATAGAACTCCAGTAACCAATTCCTTTACTTCCGATTCTTGTGTCCTGCACAATAAATTTACAAGCGCAGTTATACCACCAGCATTTTTTATTGCGCGTTTATTTTCATCATTTTGTCTTCCATAGGATAAATTTCGCAGCGCACCACATGCATTCCTAAAAAGCATAGATTTTTAACCGACTTCCAAAAAAAGGAGGAGGTTATCAGTTCGTCGGAATATTTTTTATTTTATTTTTATGTATGTTACCTATCTTCTTTTTGCATCGGAAAGGTAGTGCCTCAGAGGTGGTCCCATACTAATCTGGTTTAGATCCGATCATTGGATCATGAAATAATAATAATAGATTAGCGCTTACAAATTCTGTGGTGTTGAGTTTTCATTTACATGGTAAGACAGATCGTGTCAGCTGACTTGGGTTTACGTACCGGTAGGTTTACGTTCTTGACTAATTTCAGCTTACGGCTCAGTTATGCATGCCCAGAATTGCATAGTAAGACGTGAGAGTTGTCATAAAAGGAATCTGTTAAATGGGCTTTACGTTTCAATCTGTAGATTTTTGAATCATACATAAAAGCGGCATTCGATCGAGCAGGGAGAGCGATTGCGAGAGAAATTAGAGTGGCAAAATGTGTGCAATTGTTTGTTGGGAAGATATGTATGTGCTGCCAGAAGTATAATCACGACAAATTTTCACAAGCAATGTTTATCTATGTATACAGTGCAATACTAAGTATGCATAACTGACCCTTCGTTCCCACGACAGTCGGGTCTACGTAACCGGAACGCCCCAGAAGATATATATCTGGCCAAGGACTGCCACTCCAGCAACACTCCCCAAAATCTCTTTGGGGAATTTGTATGCTGTTACAACAACAACAACAACCCTTCGAGTGTTTGTTTCGCTTTCTTGTTTATCCACATTTCAGTATTAAGTTTGCAACCGTTACATATATATATATATATATATATATATATATAGTTTATAGTTTTATATTCTGTTATGTAAGTGAAAAATTAAAAACAAGTAATTTTTAAGCAAAAAACAAAACCGACTTCAATTCTCATATAAAAATGTAAGACTATCGTTGATTTCTTCATGATGCGATCATCGGATTTAAACCAAATTAATATGCAACCACCAGTGAGATAACACCTTTCCTTTAAAAAAAGAATTATAAAAATCGGCAAACGTGGTCCAGAGTTATGCGGTAACAAAAAAAAATAAAAATAAAAAATATTCCGACGAATTGATAAACTTTTGGTGAAGTGGGTTAAAAAGATATAACGTTAACGAACATTTCTTAATCGAAAATTTTATTAAAAACAGTTTTTTACTGGTTAAAAATGGTTTGTTACCAAACAAATAGTAAATATACATATTTAATTTATGGCAATTGGTTTGGGTAGGGATTTAATGAACACATTTAAATAATCTTACTTGTGAATCTCTGGAACATCGTACGACAGCAGCCGTACAAGAGGCGGGATTCCACCCAGTGTTCGAGTTCGCTGTTTGTTTGGATCATCCATATAACACAGATGCTGTAAATAAGCTGCGGCATTTGCCTTTATTTCATTATTTGGATTGTTCAAAAAGCTTATAACTTCTGATAGATTTGGGTCCCGCCATCTCATAGTGGAACAAATGTCACTTCCAGAACCTTCCATTAACAAATGTTTTGATTCTCTCATGTGTGAAACCGCGTCCATTGGTGTAAGAGTAAGTTGCGCCATTTTACTTTGATAATCAGCATGACCGTCATATGTTCTTGTTACGTCCGAAGGAAGTGCTGATTCTGAACCATTCAGATTGCTATCGAATAACAATGGTCTTGGTGAGTAAGAGTTGGTGTTGCCGGCTTCAATGGGAAAATCAAAATTAACTTCTGACACATATCCATAAGCAATGGTGGGATTCTCAATATAGTGGGATTCAACGGGACAAGCATTGAGGCCATAGTCAGGCATTTCGTCATATTGTGAAGCTTGCATGTATCTTACAGTAGAAACTGACGAACGTTCTTGTATTACAGACTCATTTTGTTCCTGCGTAGTAGCGAGCTGAGCTTGTGGCCCAATTAAATTGGGTGCATTGTGATCCGATCCGTATGTGCATTGCCCTCCTGACCTTGAGAGTGCCAATTCAGGAGATTTCGTGACGTATATTGATGAGTTTGGATATCTTGATTGATATTGCTCATAATCTTGTAGAGCTGTATATTGGCAATTCAATTCAGGCTCATTGAACGTTGGTGGATCCATTGCTTTAATTTTTCCACAAAATTATTTACAATTTAATCTAAAATTACAAAAAAAAATTAATTAATTCAGTGATTAGATATAACAATTACGAAATTTTATGATCTACATACATATCGATTTTATGTGAGTCAGTACATTAGCAAAGAAAAATATCAACTTAAATCTCACCCTTTTCATTCATTTTTATGCATACATGTACATATGGGCGATTCCAGCGAAAAGTCTACCGCGTAATAAAAAATTAAAAGTCCTATATCTAACTTATTTATGAGCCGATTTAGCTGCTGTTTATAATACACATATACTGGTTATGTAAGCAGAAACTTTTATGCCAAAAATGGTATCGGGCAGGGCCGGGATATTTTGAAAAACCATATTTTTGCTTTGATTTGTATCGTATTTAGCATGTTTAGTTGAAACGGAATAAGACATAGATTTGCAAAAAAGGGAGATTTCTACATTTAAAAACTTGGAAAATTAATCTTAAACATTTTTAATATATTACTACAAATACTTTTATACAAATAGTCTTGCCCAAATCGCAAAGTTTTGCAATTTAGTAACCCAAGTCAATATCCACTTCTGTTTTCGGTAACGTCATGCTAGCGCGTATGTTTACTAATAACCCCTATTGCGAATGTCGACTGGCAGTAGATAAACGACTATTAAGCGATTGTCGATTACACTATGCGACAGTCAAAATCGGGATGGGATGAAACCAACGGGAAATGTTATATCGTTCAAAAACAAGTTATACGTGGCCCGGCGTTTCGCTGGGTCACGCCTAGGAATCGAGATATATCGATTTGAGGTTAGTAACTATCATATAGGGGAAATTGTCACCTTTGGTGGTCTTTTTTTTTACATAACTCGAGAACCACTAGTCCGATTTTGCTCAAACAAATTTAAAAAAATTAAAAATTACAATTCCTTTAATCTGTTAATATAACGTTTTTCTATATACTCAACAGTTTTGCCGGTAAAAATAAATGTAAAATAATAAATGTAATAACCTAATAATTACCTGTAATAATCTTTAATTTTACGTTTTAATAATAAATAATATGTAATAAATATTATCAAAATTCATTGAAACATAAAATCAATACTCTTGTCAAAATGAGATACCTTTACTTAATTGTGAATAAAAGCGAAACGCGTCCATCGATTTTCATGATCTATGTCTCATTTTGCTTAAAGGTTATGTGACTTTGCGTGAAAGTAATACGGCTTGCCTTTTTTTCCGTTTTGGATTTTTTATGAATTTAAAAAATAAAAAAATTTAATATTTTAGGCAAAAAAATTTTTTTTTTTTCATACATTTATTTTTACCGGCAAAACTGTTGATTATATAGAAAAACGTTATATGAACAGATTAAAGGAATTGTAATTTTTAATTTTTTTTAATTTGTTTGAGCAAAATCGGACTAGTGGTTCTCGAGTTATGTCAAAAAAAAAGACCACCAAAGGTGACAATTTCCCCTATATGATAGTTACTAACTTCAAATCGATATATCTCGATTCCTAGACGTGACCCAGCGAAACGCGAAAGAAATGTCATCGCCTTCAATGTTCCTGAATCGAAGAAGCAAGTGGGCTCTGAGCGATTGTATGATGACCGCGTAGTGGTTTCCAAAGCTTTACCACCTGAGTTAGCCGAAGTTGTTTCTAATATGAAAATGCGCAGAATTGGTCGCCCAAAAGACCGCAAAACTCGCCCTCTGTTGATCACTACGCCTTCGGTTGATGATGCAAGAAGAATTCTCAAAATAAAACATACAGAAAACAGAGACAACATAAATTTTAAACCAGATTTGACTCGGTGCCAGCAGAATCATCTTAACAGCCTACGGGAAGAGCTCGAGGCTCTTAAAAATAATGGTGAAACAAACAAGACAATCAGGTATATAAATGGTATCCCAAGAATTGTGAATGTGCCTGGATTTCGAAGCGACGAGGAGAACCACTAAGACCAAACAAGATCTGCTAGTTTACTACCAGAACGCAAGGGGGCTTAGAACTAAACTTAAAGATTTTTTCACTATAACAGCAAGTTGGCAGTGTGATGTACTATGAATTTCGGAGTCTTGGTTGCATCCGTCTATTTTGGATGGCGAAATTGTTGACAGTACGTATAATATCTATAGGAGGGACAGGGATCAAACGACCAGCATACATGAGCGCGGTGGCGGTGTCTTCATTGCTGTCAAGCGCCGTATATCGGTTGAACAATTAACAATAAGCAACAATCACCTGGAGCAAGTATTCGTTAAAGTTAAAGGCCACGGTGGTGGTGATATCATCATAGGGTGTGTTTATATTCCACCAAAATCACGTTCTGATGTATACTCCAGTCATATAGCTACCATTTCTTACCTTAGAAATAAATATCCAAACAGCAGTCTTATGATAATCGGTGATTATAATCTTAATAGTAGTCTACCACAAGTTGAGTGTGAGTCAATATTGTATGAAAAATTTCTTCTATCTGGATGCCTCCAGCAAAACAATACCTACAATGAGCACGGACGAATGTGGGATCTATGCTTCAGCGATTTAAACCTCTTGATTAACAAGGCGGATCCCATTATCCAGGAGGATGCATATCACCCCGCGCTGGTGGTGCAACATCAATTCCGTACAAATCTGAAGCAAAATGACGTTCCTACTTATGTATTTAAAAAGGCAGACTATGCAGCGTTGAATAGCTTCTTCCTGGGCGTAAACTGGATAGACTTATATAAGCTGGAAAATATCGATGACAAAGTGAGCTGGTTTTATGAGATTGTGTACTCGGGCATTGCTCAATTTGTCCCAATATTTGTTAAGAAGAATAATGAATACCCTTGTTGGTTTTCAAAAAAGTTGATTTACAAAATTAAGCAAAAGAAAATTGCACATCAAAGGTATAAGAAGCAAAAAACCCAAGCAAACTATGCCGTATTTAGTAGTTTAAGGTCCGAGTGTAAAAAGCTGAGTACATCATGCTACGAGAGTTACCTAGGAAAAGTAGAGAACGATTTGAAATGTAATCCTAATAGATTCTGGAGTTTTGTAAAAAATAAAAGGCGCAACGATGTCGATATACCTTCGACTATGACTTGGAACGAAATTACTGCATGTAATGGCGCGAAAATAAGTAACCTCTTCGCGTCATTCTTCAGAAGCGTATATAAAGAACCCGCATCAGAGGCTGTTACACGCCAAGGATGTGATCATCCAGATGTCGACATGGTGGAATTTGAAGTATGCTTCAATGATGTATTTCGTCAGCTAACTCTTTTAAATATCAACAAAGGCGCTGGACCTGATCATATACCAAACATCTTTGTGAGAAACTGTGCTGTTGGTCTCTGTGAGCCAATCACACATATCTTCAGCAAATCGCTTCAAACAGGTAATTTTCCCTCGACGTGGAAGTTATCATACATAAGCCCTATACATAAATCGGGTGATAAAGCTCAGGTGAACAACTATAGACCTATATGCATCCAATCTTCACTCGCTAAATTACTAGAAAAAATCGTCTTGCCTCAATTAACCTCTGCTTTTAAAAATGTGATAATCTCCATGCAGCATGGATTCTTTGGTGGGAGATCCACCTCTACCAATCTATATCTCTACATCAACTACATACTTAATGCAATGAATAACGGACTAGACGTACACTCCTTATACACTGACTTTAGCAAGGCATTTGACATGGTTGATCATGAAATTCTGCTACGAAAAGTAAATAGTTATGGTGTACGATCAAGAGCATTAGACTGGCTTCGCTCGTATTTATCTGGCAGACGTCAGCAAGTCCGTGCCAATTGTCATCTGTCAAATGAGTTTGATGTTATATCTGGTGTACCACAAGGATCTCATCTGGGACCAGTTCTGTTCAGCATATTTATAAACGACATAGGTGTGAATCTTAAATCCGAGTACTTGTTATATGCCGATGATATGAAACTATTCAGAGCAATAGGTAACAATCACGACATGAAGGCACTTCAGGAGGATATCTCTGAACTAGAAGAGTGGTGTGTGATGAATAAATTGCATCTGAACATAAAAAAGTGTGCTGTCATGGGATTCTCTCGACGTCACAATCGAATGCCCGCCAACTATTATCTGTGCGGCCAACGTGTACAGTTAGTCAGTACCATAAAGGACTTGGGAGTGATGATTGACGATAAACTGTCTTTCTCAGATCACATCAACCACATAGCTTTACGTGCATGCCGTGCTCTGGGATTTGTTTGCAGATTTGGCAAGGAATTCAAGGATGTAAAAACCCTCCTCAGACTTTTCTCGACCTTCGTCCAACCAATACTTGAATATGGTTCCATTGCCTGGGCACCATATACCGAACAACAAACTAACAATGTTGAAAAGGTTCAACGAAAGTTCTGCAAGTTTTTGCTGTATAACTCGCGCGACGAAAGCAATATGAACGTCAATGATGTATATCTCAGGAACAATATTAAAACTCTATGTAGCAGAAGGCAAATGACGGATCTATTGTTCTTTTACAAAGTCGTCAATGGCCTGATTGACTCACCAGAAATACTGGAGCAGTTCAGATTTATTACCTCTAGAGCCGATCTCCGAACTAGAAGGCTACTAGATGTTGTGCCGGCAAATAGAAACTACGTCGCCTTTGGTCCGTACAACAGGATAGCGAACCTTGTCAACCAACATGCACCGAATGTAAATTTCTTTGGAAGGTCTCACTCTAGCTTAAAATATAAATTAAAATCAATTCTCTGAATTATATGTTACATTGCAATGTCATTTCATTCCGTTTTGTTTTTTCTGTTAAAGCAACCAACCACACACGTTTGTTATTACTTATTACTTCTTAAGTCAATAATTTAGTTATGTACAAAGCCGATTGGCGTTTAAATAAATAAATAAATAAATAAATAAATAATTCTGAAAGATATTTTAATTCTCTATCTTTTCATGTCTCAACTATAGCAAAAAGTTGAGTATTAATGAAGATATTGTTCAAAATAAAAAACTCACGCTCACGCTCGCATTGAACTG